TGGCTGGCTGGCTGGCTGGCTGGCTGGCTGGATGGATGGATGGATGGATGGATGGATGGATGGATGGATGGATGGCTGGCTGGCTGGATGGATGGATGGATGGATGGATGGATGGATGGATGGATGGATGGATGGACTTTCTTCTTATAGTTTTTGTTTTATCTCTGATTCACAAAACTTTATCCATTGATTCATTAAGAGTTCAATTAGCTTCATTCAAATATTTTGGAGTGGTATGACCTGAATGAGTGAACGTGTGAAGAACTAATTTTATTTATTTACTTTTTCTTAAAGGGCCTTTTTTAAATGGACGAAAGGGTCTGATATTGAATTGATGGACCCAGTATGCTAAATAGTGATTAACTATTTAGCAGTGAAAACAATAGAAGCAGGATGATGTAAGAAAAAATCGTACTATGAATACAGGAAACTACAGTATAACCAGTGTGCCAGATGTAGCCATGTACTTTCCAGTACTACTACAGACTCTTGGATTTCCAGTTTGTTCTATTTCTTAAGACTTTACCAATTTAGCTTTCAGACTAAAGTCTCCATAATCCAGCACTTTTGACCCATTTGATGTAAGTTCAGGGAAACATTGGAGCCCAAATCTTTCCACAGTATAAACTTGATGGTTTATTGGTTTGGCTGACCTTTTATAGACACACCTTCCTATCAGAATTATAGGTGTGCTATGGCACCAGGCCATCAATGTGTCATCTGTGATCAATGCTTTTCCCTACGTAGAAAGACAGGCATGCACTCACTGACACACACACACGCTCACACACACACACACACACACACACACAAAGCATCTTTCTTCCTTTCTTTCTCTAATACAAACACATTCTCTTTAAGGTCACCTCTGTCCCACAGGCCTTAACACACAACTGTCCCTACAATTAGATGTGGCTCGGTAAAAAGCCTCTCAGATTTAAGAATTGGCTGCTGGGGAGCCATGAATTTAATGACTTGCACTACTCTGAAACTGAATGTCTATAGATGATAAATGGCTTTAGAAAGGAAAGCAGGTTTTGTAGTTGATGCACACCTTTAATCACACTCTAACATCATCTAAATAAAAAAAATTTAAAAGAAAAGAAGAAAAACCTTGAAATAAGAAAAGGGGCATTCATTTTCTCTCCTACTCAATGACTTTTGGATTTTTCTGAAAAAAAAAAAGACCCGGAATCAAAATATAATTACATTTTGTTTTTAGGTAAACTCACTGTGGAGAAAATCTTCTTTGTATTACTGAGGTTTTTTTTCAGAGTCGTTTCCTTGTTCTTTTTTCCTGTACAGAAACAACGTATGCCTCTAGGAGGACACAAAAACTTTTACACATGTTGATTGGTAGCGCCTTTGCTCCTGTATGATGCCATTCTTTTTTCAAAATCCGATAACTGAACAAGTGACTGCCTCAGGGGTTGGAGTGGAAAGGACTTGGGCCTGGTAGTGCATGTACAGATATAGTACAACGTCCACGAGGGCCAAGAGTATGTACTGTAACAAATGGGACATGACGGTTTAGCTAGAAACCAAGGCTGACGTTGACAAATGAGGATCATTGTGTTAGGCTGCGTTTAAGCACACACAGACAGTGGCAATTTAGAAATGTTCCTCCGTGCAGCCAAGAGGATAAACTGCTGAAAGAGAAATAATTTAAGAGCAGGCTGAGCATGGCTGGCCAAAAGTGCCAATGTGACAAATATGATGCACAGTAAACACTGAAAATAGTAAGAAGTGTAGTATTACTAGGTTTGTGCTCATGAATGTCTGTAAAAAAGTGCTCCCATTATTTGACAAGGCAACTATGTTGTCACTAATTTGCACATAAGACACTGACATGTTTGGTTACTTTCTGTCCTTATCGTCCTTCTAAGGTTTAATAGACAGTATTATGGCATAACTTTAAATAACTAGGTTTCACTAAGTAACTTGTTTGAATTTTTATAAGCAAAGTTTATAGAGAAGTCTTCAATGTAGCAGTTTTGTCTAAACTGGTTCATCTAATTCACTATATTTGAACAAAACCTTGAAATATATTTTTTTAAAATGGGTAAGGGTATCTGCAGTGTTTTATGAATACAATCTGGAAACCATTTTAAATAGTTTAAAGGTGTTGAAAAGATGCAAGAAATGCAAGCGACTCAACTTTGAATTCTGATTACCTTTTCAGCTGTTTATAGAAGATAAGTGAACGGTACAAAAAAAGTGAGGCATTAAGACATTTGACACATTTTAGAACTAAATACACTAAGTGCCATGATCATAAAAAAAAACCCAGATGGTATAAATGGGAAGATGTGAATTAATAATATATAATTTACTTAAAAACTCCTACAAGCACGACTGTGAGAAGAGAGGATTGTTACCTGTGTGTTCATATGCCAAATGTTGAGGTGTTGATAGCCGCTAGACAATATTTGAACTCAATAAATTCTACTTGAGAACTGATTTGTAACTTTTTTTTACATTTAATAAATCAAAATCTGTAACAGTAGTACTAAATAAACATTGTTTTGTGGGTTAATCTAACCTTCATTATGTGTAAATGTCGATAAGGTACACCCTTTTTTTTTTTACTTTTCAGTTATTTTACATTCCAACATTTATTTAACATAAATCAAGAACTTAGCTTACAATATCGGGCATTGCCAATCAATATAACTGTTTGATAACATTCCCTACCATTATCCAAGAAGGGCACCCCACCCTGTCAACAGAATCGAGTGCCCCACCTACCAACTCTCTCACCCTCGACTCTGCTCCGCTACTTCCAGATGGGGAGCAGAGATTAGCAGCTCAGACTTCAAACTGCACGCAATACAAACGTAGCGCTCTACTATACTGCTTCGACAACTGACGCCATTACCGTACCACTACGCGCACCAAAGCAAGTAATCTAGGAGAAACACTGACATATACATGTTGTTTTAGTCTGATTTTAATATCTATAGCTGCATCAGAAAAAATATTCAGTAAAATACTTGTTTTTTTAATTTCAGATAATTTACCCCAAAATGCTGAACAGCTTCAAAGCAGGCAATACCATCTGAATATTACCTGCAATTAAAATAAACTTTATTTTCAGCCACCTAAAAATCTATTTTAAGATAAATGGAACTGGCTAACATTGTAATATTCCAATTTTAGTTTTTTTTTTTTCCTTCTTCTTTCGGCTGCTCCCTGCATTAGGGGTCGCCACAGCAAACTAAGCCGCACAAAGACTTGGCTCCAATTTTTGTACACCCCAAAAAAAACATGAAGGAATATCAACAAAACACCAATCCATAATAAAACCCAAAGATCATGACAATAATACCATTTGCAAGTTAATGAAATAGAAACAAAACTAAGGAGGGCAAAGAATCTCCTCTTTCATATTTATCTTCTGCTGCTCCTTGCCTCACTTACAATCCCCTTTAGTTTCTTCATCACCACTTGAGTTTATATCACACTACAAATTATTATTTTATTGTTGTCATGTCTTTCTGACAGTAGTCCTGGGAGATAACACAGATAAATGAACAGCAACGAGATCAGGAGAAAGTCATATACATGCCTCAGTGGATTCCAACTGCTGGCTTTGATCTGTTAGAAATTTAAAACATACTGAAGTTTCTCTCTGTCTCTGTAACTGTCTGTCTGTCTGTCTGTCTCTCTTTCTATCTCTCTGACTCCCTCTAACTCGCCCATATGTTTTTGTTTAAAAAAAAAAAACTACTTTTAGTAGTAAGTGTACACACCTGTTTCTGAAACAATCATTAGACCTTTATTTTACTACAAAAGGTAATTCTTCTTCTAAAGTTCTGACAAGGCAGGTAAGCCACTAAAGAGACCTCAGAGAAAATACAGATCCCTGTAAGTATATTTAAACCTTGTGAGGCCACAGTATTGTAACGTGTCAGTGCCTTAGTAAGTGACCATTCCAGCTAATCACATCTGTAATGGTGTGAATGTAATTTTACTGAGTTCCAAACATTCACACTGTGATGGTCCTGTAGCCCGAGGAAAACTTTAGCTCTGAATAGGCTAAGGCATTTAAAGAGCAAAGTAATAGCCTGTGACAGAAGGATTATTGTGTGCAATGTGTGTGTGTGCCTCTGTACATATAAAGAGTATTATGGTAGACACTTAAATACATCTCCCAATTTCCTCCTCCCAACTTAGAATCTCATTAAATTAACAAAAAAAAGAAATTAAAAAGACCTCTCAAAGTGTAGAAACAACACTATGACAAGGCTTCATAGAGCTGATTTATCAAAAGTGTGGGCGGAGCACTGTGCACACTGATTCCAGAACAAATTGCTTATTTTTTGTTAACTGCTCTTGTGCAATTAAAAAATGTGATAACTTGAAAATGAGTCTGTAAGTTTGTGGCAATGTGGTTATGCATCACTCACTTCCTGCAATGTTCGTCTCAGTCTTAAAAGCAGCGTTTTGACAGCTGTGCAATCCTGCAGCATCAGTCTGAGTGGAAGGGCTTCCAACCCTGGAGGTAAGAGGTCGTCTTCTTTTCCTGAACCCAACCCCATGCTACAGTCAGCAGGCAGCAGGCTAGTTGGACGGCGGGGTTCCCTGGAGGCAAAACAGTGAGAAATAAAGAAATTTAATGTTACTATGAGCCAGCGTGAAAACAGGATCATTGACCCATCCTCACCTCTCCCTGCTGCTGTTATCGTTGCCATTGGTGTGTACTTGCAGTGAAGATGATACATTAAACAGTAATATAGAGAAAACAGTTGTTTCTTAGCATCCAAGCAATTCCCAGAACACTGTGTGATACCATGCGTGACCAATGAAAATGCAGAGACATGGTCCAAACAATAACTTGGCAGCACAGAGAACAATTCTATGTGCCCGTTTGATTCAACACCATATTTTCTACAATACAATAAACGGTAGTGATACACACAACTGTTTTTCACAATTCTTCCAGTTTTATTAACCCTTTTAAGGAAATCAATGTTAAAGATACCTCAGTTATACTTGGAGCCCATTTATATTTTAATTTAAAAAAAATAAAATAAACTAGTTCACTGGGTGATGACGTACATTTACAAAAAAAGGTTTGTTATCCAATCATGGGTTTCATTGACAGTAGCAGCTTTAAGGGATACATCATTGTCGTCAAGTGTTTCTAACTCTTCACAACTATTAAAAGACATACTTTGTGTATGCCTTTGTGTATCAGAGATTGTGAGACTGGCTGAGGCCTCAAATAAGAAGTTTCTTAGTGGACTTTATTGTAGTTAACTCAGTTTTACAAATAAAACTGTTTGTCCGCATCACTATCCTGCCTGCTCAACCCCTATCCAGTAAAAGGCAGAAGACCAAGCTTCTTGGTTCTGGTTCTGCTAGAAGTTTCTTCCTGTAGAAAGAGTATCTCTCCACCATCACACACTGACTTGTATGTGCTTATGATGAAAGACTTAATCAAATGGAAAACTTGATGCAATTCACTGACTTTTTAAGCAAAAAAAAAAAGCATGTTCACTTCACAAATGAGCTTTTTTTTATTACTGATTAACTGAATCTAACTATATTGATTCTTTCGGCTTTTCCCTCTTCAGTGGTCTTCACAGCGAGTCATCCTCCTCCATCCCACTCTGTCCTCTGCATCCTCTGTCCTCACTCCAACTACCTCCATGTCCTCTCTAACTGCATCCATATATCTCCTCTTTGTCTTTTTTCCAGGCAGCTGCATTTCTAACATCCTTCTACCAATATGTCCACTGTCCCTCCTCTGGACATGTCCAAACCATCTCAGTCTGACCTCTAACTTTATCTCCTAGTTGTTCAACCTGTGCTGTACCTCGGATGATCTCATTCCTAATCTTATCCAGCCTTGTCATTCCTCAGGAGAACCTTAACATCTTCATTTCTGCCACTTCCAGTTCTGTCTCCTGTCTTTTTGTCACACTGTCTCCAGACCATACAACATAGCTGGTCTCACCACTTAAACTTTTCCTTTGACCTTTGCTGACACCATTTTGTCGCAAATCACTCCTGAAACTTCTCCATCCACTCCATCCTGCCAGGACTCTCTTTTTCACTTCTTTACCACACACTCCATTTTCCTGGACAGTGGACCCCAATTACTTGAAGTCCTGCACCTTTGTGACCTCTGTTCCTTGTAGCCTCACTGTTCCACCGGCCTCCCTCTCATTCACACATGTACTCTGTCTTACTACGGCTGACTTTCATTCCTCTTCTTTCAAGTGCATACCTCCACCTCTCCAAGTTCTCTTCCACCTATTCCCTATTCTCACCACAGATCACAATGTCATCTGCAAACATCATAGTTCATCATAACTATATCCATCATAACTATATTGATTTGGATTACTGTATCACTAGATTCAATTGGAGTAAATGATTTTGAGCTGAACTGTATCAAACTGGAATTGAAATTAACTAGTTTATCAGTAAAAAAAAAAAAGATAATAATTGTGTTATATACTGGTCTAATGTACAAAAATTGACTGTAAATGAACTGAACCAAGTTGAATCATGATAGAGACAATGGTAGAGCCATCTCCACAAAAATAATAAAGGCTTTGATTAAAAAAAAAAAAAAAAAACGGCACTTTTTAAATTAACCGTCCCATTTGGAAGCACAGTCCATTAAACAGTAAACAGGCCTCGGGAGCTGACTGTCTTTAGTCTGTGGTGCACAGCCTCTGTAGACTTTCCTTCAATACCTACAGAATTTAGTACAACAATAGACATGTACTCGAGACGTCCTTCATGGCACAAGGTCTCAAAGTTCTCTTTTTTTTTACCAGGAGTATCAGCAGACACAAATGTTGCTTACAATGTACAGCTACAGATGTATGTCTGTTACCTGGCAACACAAACACACGTATGCATATAGGTTACCATTTACGTGGACTACCTAAAGGGATGTGCACAACAAAGATGTTTTCTACATTTGTAAAAGTAACTTTACTGAATGTCTGAACAGCTGGAGTTGTGTTTTATTGCTCTTTTGTTTGTTTATTTTTGTTTGATTTTTCTTAAATAGTGAGCATTAAGGTGCCATAAAAAATAAATCCAATATTTCTAGTCTATTTGGAGGATGGCACGGTGGTGCACTTGGTAAAGCTGTTGCCTCTCAGCGAGAACGTTGCTGGATTGAATCTCAGTCTGGGATCTTTCTTGGTGGAGTTTACATGTTCTTTTCATAACTTAACATAAATTATTTTCATAACTGACCCCCATGACCCAGAAAAGAAGAAGTGAATAAAGATAATGGATGGATGGTCTATTTAGAGTGATCATATAACTGCAATTTACAGTTCTTCAAGGGTATTTTTAGAAAAAGATGGCAAAACGCACACAACAAAATCATTACACAAGCACTACGCATATACGATACATTCATTATTACAACTTTAAAATTGTTTGGCATGATTTATTAAAATGGCAAAGTACAGTGCTCTTGTAAATAAATAAAAAATTAACAAGAATACTGTTCTTGGTGCAATACAAGTTCATGATTTCATAAACACCAAAAAACAAAAACTAAATGTGTTCAAACATGAAAATAATTAAGTAAAAAAAATGTTTTTTAATTAGTACCTTTAAAATAAAATAGGTCCTATGACCAAGGATACAATAAATAAAAAACAGTTAGTTATCCATAAATCACTAAAATTAAGTTTTTACTCCAATATTTTAAAGATTAAACTTGGAATAGAACAAAACCTTATTAAATCTTAAACTTTACTAAACAATTTCTATGTAACGAATATATATATATATATATATATATATATATATATATATATATATATAAACACCATTCTGAATGTTTAATAAACAAAAAATAAACCCAGTGTCTCATTAAACTTCATTCCTGCATTAACATTTGCCTACCAAGTTGTAACATTTTGACAGAAAAGTGTACACGGGGACAGTGCATCTCAACTCTTTTTTTTTTTTTTTTTTTGACATTTTCAAAAGGTGAGCTGAGAAATACCACCCTCTTGTCTGAAAAGCCCACAGACAATCTCAGAGTTCACAGTCTGCATAACAAGAGAAGCAGGAGACAGGAGTGATTGCAATAAAGAGAGGCAGTCGTAGTAGCAGGCACAAGGAGCTCTTTATCATCAAGAGAACATGTTCACTTTGACTGATGGCCATTTAGAGCAGGGTGAGAGGAGATGAGGAGCCTTCTGTCACTTTCTCCCAGAAAAATGAGCAAGTAAACAGTGGCGAGGTACGTTAATTCAGACAATAAATTCTCCTGGAAAATGGTTTCTTGACCAAAATAAGACAATATCACGAAAATATCAATCACCCAGAGTCACTCAAAGGACTGATAAGGTCGAGCTGAATTGATGCCTCATTTTTTCTTCCTTGATCATTCACCATCCTACCAACTTTTGTTTTTACTATTATTCATGCACCCTTGCCCCACCTACGTGTCGAACCCTACTTATATATATTTTTTTTTTTATTCCTCAATTTCAACACCTAAACAAATTTGTCCTTGCTGGTCCTCCCTAATCGAGCCACAATAGATCCATCTCTTTTGCCCTTGTCTACTAACTCTTTAACTTTCTCTTTGCGCCCTTTTGTTACCCCTCCGTTGTGACAACCACAACACTTAACTGGTGCAGTATCAAAACCTCAGGTGTCCCTCAAGGGAGCCCGCAGAGTACCTCAGACAAATGCCGATGAAACAGGCAGTCTTTTGAGGACAGGTAAGTACTGTCTGTCAAGTGGGTGCTTTTTGTCCCCACTCTAAGATGGTTTTGTTTGTAGCTTTCTGATCCTGCTTGACATCCCTAGAAGGGTGAACTTCCTCCATGTTTTTCTTTGTTGCCCCACATGTTATTCAATAGGGATGAGCAGAGCGCAAATAAAAAATTAAAAAATAGATCATTTGTTTTTTCTCAGAGCACAGCATAAAAAAAGCACAGTGAAGTATCAAAATAATTATTTTTTCTGTCAAGTTTTTGTTGTTGTTGTCTTTTTGCATCAGTGTGCTTCTTTAAAATACTAAGACACTTTTAGCCTCAGTTTGACTTTTACCAGTTTTCTTTTTAATTTTTATGATGAGCGTGGACGTGCAGTAAATCCACAGTCACAACTAATTTTGTGATAAAAGCTATAAAAAATGAACTGACAATAATAAAAAAAAACTCTGTTGTCCCTGTGTAAAGAATTAGCTCCTACATTTATCTGATAAAACCAAGCGTTTAAGGGCTGTCAATTGTTTTACCATAACAGTGTTTCCCCTACCGTTATCCAAGGAGGGCGCCCCGCCCCGTCAACAGTACCAAGCGCCCTGCCTATCGACATATCCTTCACTCACAAACCCCGCCCCTATCGAGAACTGCCTGCCCCCCACCCTCACACCAGTCTTGTGGCAGTAGAAGTTAAAGTCTTTTATAGTTTTAATTTTGCCGCCAACAAAGTTTCATCTACAAGATACTCTGTTCTTTCAGTAGTTGGGTGGTGGTTAGAGCAATCATCCTCCAATGCAAGAGTTGGGGATTCGATTCCACCACCAGTCACATGTTGAAGTGTCCCTGGGTAACCCCTCATTGCCTCTGATGTGTGTCCCA